GTTTTGAAGGGTGAAAAATTGAGTTTTGAAGGGTGAAAATTTGAGTTTTGAACGATGAAAATTGGGTTTTGAAGGGTGAAAATTGGGTTTTGAAGGGTGAAAAATTGAGTTTTGAAGGGTGAAAATTGGGTTTTGAAGGGTGAAAAATTGAGTTTTGAAGGGTGAAAATTTGAAAATTGGGTTTTTGAAGGGTGAAAATTGGGTTTTGAAGGGTGAAAAATTGAGTTTTGAAGGGTGAAAAATTAAGTTTTGAACGATGAAAAATTGAGTTTTGAAAATTGGGTTTTGAAGGGTGAAAAATTGGGTTTTGAAGGGTGAAAAATTAAGTTTTGAACGATGAAAAATTGAGTTTTGAAAATTGGGTTTTGAAGGGTGAAAAATTGAGTTTTGAAGGGTGAAAAATTAAGTTTTGAACGATGAAAAATTGAGTTTTGAAGGGTGAAAATTGGGTTTTGAAGGGTGGGTTTTGAACGGTGAAAACTGACGTCATGACCCGATGAAGCCTTGTTGAAGTTGTACCTTTGGTCTTTCGTATGGTCGAAAGCCCGCGCTTCCGTTTCTCATTATTTTTCCGCTTATAGAATTACGTGAGTTGTTTACATACAGAAGAGAGAACGTTATCTATAGTTGAAGATTTTTATATCAAAGTTAAGTTTGTAAATAGTTAACGTTAACATATGAGCTTCTAATATACTAGTACAAAGTTTTGGAATGCAACAGTTAACGTTATAGTGGAATAGAAAATACTCACAGAAAAGGCCCAAATTTAAGAAACCGATTCCGACTGGATCAAAGAGGTGAACATAATTCAACCCTCTCAAATGAACATTATATTGCTATTGATGAAGTTGGCCGCCACTTTTCAAGTGAAAGTTAGAATTACCCAACATGCTGTGCTGTTGACGTCATCACCGAGCAGTGTTCAAGAAGTGCGCCATTTTGAAATCTCTGTGGCTCGGGGGTTTCTTGTTGGGAGGGATCCCGCCACAATCGGCCGACATCCTCTACCCTGTGTCACCCTAGAAGCAAACACTTTACCTACAGAATATCGCAAGAAGTCAAAGATTTCTGGTAGAGGACAATTATGGCTGGTAGGTGTCTTGCACTAAGAGACAATACCGTATTTGACAGTGAACCAACAACCTGCACTTGTTTCAACTAAACCGCTATGATCACATTTCAGGTACGTGCTTGTAACATGCTACATTGCATATGAAAATGTCTGATGTAA